CCCATCATCATATATAAATATATTTACATATGCCTGTATTTAAACCTCGATAAATGCGCTTTGCCTCCAAGTTCTTTCCTCTATTTCCTTTTACTTTCCTCTTGTTCCACTACCATGCTCAGCCTTCATTTGGGTTTGAGTAATTCCTCTCGATTACATTGCCATTGATCAAGCCCTACCAGCCCTCCTACATGCTCCTCACCATCGATTTTGGATCACTTATTGTTCCCTGTCCCTGGGTTTGTTAACACCCACTTCCTTTCCCCCACCTCCCCCTCTCCCATGTGCCCCTGGAACTGTTGGTCCCATTGTTATCTCCTCCAGCTTGTTTATCTAGCCTATCTTATCTAGATAGACCTGCAGAGATGATAATATGCACAAAAAACAAGACAGAACAAAACAAAGCAACAAAACAAAACAGCAACCAAAAACCCCAGCTCTTCTTTTTTTCTCCCTTCCCTACCTTCGTGACCCTTTGATAGATTATAAATTATTTTCATATCTCACACCGACGGCTGGTTTCTGTTGTTCCACCTGGAGGGGGGGGATGTGGTTATGTGTTGATGTGATCGGTTCTCCCTTTCTTCCCTTCCCGCTACCCTTCTGGTAGTGCTATATCCTGTTCCTGGATTCCATGTCGTGACCTTTTATCTCTGTGTAGTGCTCAGGTCTAGTCCAACGTGAGAAGCAGCACTGGGGTCATGATAGTGGGGGATGAGGAAGCCTCAAGGAACCAGAGGAATGTTGTGTGTTCCATCAGTGGTTACTGCACCCTGGTTTGACTCATCCTTTCCTTGCGACCCCTCTGGGTCTCTGCTCTGACGCTCTCAAATTCAACAAAATGTTTTTGTTTGTTATGGGTCTTCTGATACCTGTTACCCAGTCCTGATGACACTCATGATCGCACCAACTGGTGTACTTCTTCCATGTGGGCTTGTTGCTTCTCTGCTGGATGGCTATATGTTTAACTTCAAGTCTTCAAGACCCCAGATGCTGTATCTTTTAATAGCAGGGCACCATCTACTTTCTTCACATTTGCTTATGCTTCTATTGTCTTCAGTGATTGTGTCAGGAGGGTGAGCATCAGATTGCCAATTTTCTATGTAAAATTAATTTTTTTAAATTAATTTTATTGCGGGATCAGATTGCCAGTTTGTTAGAACGTGTTCTTGTATTGAGGGAGGGTATGAGCAGAGGTCCAAAGTCCATCCATTACCTCAGTGTATTGCCATGTAAGTATATGTACATAGGCCAACACCTCTATTTTTAAGGATTAATGTATTTACTTATGTACACACCTATGCTTATACCTCTATCCATAGCTTTGCTTCCTAGATCATTCCTCTGCTTCCTTTTGCCTGGAAGAAGGCTTATTAACCACCTTGATCAACAAATGACACAACTTTGTTTGGTGAAAGCAGAGAGAACTTGAAGCATTTATGGATAAAAAAGACAACAGTCTTCAGTAATGGATTACAACTCAATGTAATGGAAAGAAAACAAGGATTCCAGTGCATTCAGCTGTTAACCACAAAGTCAGCAGTTTGAACCTGCCAGCTTCTCTTTGGGAGAAAGAAAAGACATAATTTTAAAACTCCTAAAACAACATCAAAACCTTTGAAACACAGCAAAAGCAATTTGGAACAAGAAGCTCACATATCAAAAAAAAGTATCAAAAGCAATGCATTAATGCAAGATCGTCAATAATTAGATCAAGAGCAGCAAAATAAACTTTCGATCACCAGAAGAAAATAACGATTAGAGCAGAAATAAATGAATCAGGAAACAGAACACAATAAAACAAAACAACACTGCCCTCAACTCAATGCCAACTCGTAGCGACTGTATATGACAGGGTAGAGCTGTCCTGTGGGTCTTTGAGTATGCAATTCTTTATGGGAGTAGAAAGCCCCATCTTTCTCCTGAACAACTAGGGTTTTCAACTGCTGACCTTGAGGATCACTGCCCACCCCTGGTGGTCTAGTGGTTACACACTGGACTGCTAACTGCCAGGTTAGCAGTTTGAAACCACTAGCCACTTTGCAGGAGAAAGAGGTGGCTTTCTACTCGTAAAGAGTTACAGTCTCAGAAACCCACAAGGACAGTTCTACCCTGTCCCATTGGGTCACTCTGAGTCAAAACTGATTTGATGGCAGCAAGTTACAGAACACAACAGAAAAAGAACAAATAAGAATCTAGATCTTTGAATGGATGATCAAAATCGACCAATCCCTGATACACGTAACAAAGGAAAAGAAGCAAATATCACAATTCAGAAACGAAAAAGGTGGTATCACAAAAGAACCGACGGGGAAAAAAGAACACGGTATTATACTGAGATGGGTACTATACTCATCTTTAACACCAGTACAAAGGCGTCTCTGGTGCAACGCAATCAGGTGGTTCTCTCTCCCGCGTGTGGCTGGGACGAGATAAGGGCTCCAGCTTCTCTACCTCCGGCCTTTTCCAGGGTCTGATTTAGGTAGCTGGGTCGGACGCTCTCACCCTCACCTAAGGGGAGAGCCCAAGGAGAAAGGGAAGGGGCCCACAGCACCACCCCCGCTTCGGCGGCGGGGCTGGGGGTATGCTCGCGTCAGCCGGGGCCCAGTCAGTGCCATCGCCAACCGTAGGTTCCGCCCGGGCCCCGTCCACTGCCGGGCAGGGCCCCGCCCACGGCGCAGGCTCGCCCACTGCCGAGCAGGGCCCCGCCCACGGCGCAGGCCCGCCCACTGCCGAGCAGGGCCCCGCCCACGGCGCAGGCCCGCCCACTGCCGAGCAGGGCCCCTCCCACGGCGCCGGCCGGCGAAGGTGTCCGGCTGCTCTCTGGCGCCCCCTGGCCGGGCGCGAGCGTCCCAGGTTTCCGGTGAGCGGCGGCCGCCGGCTCTGACGACTCCGTCTTCGCGAGCAGTGTTGGTCTCCTCCTCTCCTCTGTAGCCCCGGCTCCAGGTGGGACGCGCCCCGAGGCTCCCGGGACCTTACACTGCTCCCCCTCCCGCAGCGCTCTGCGCGCCATTCTCGCCGGTGGGCCGCCTGCCCGTCCCGGCGCGCCTTCCTCGCGGACTGCAAGCTCTCCGCTCTCCCCGCCGGCGACTTCCCGTGCCTGGCGGCCGGGGCAGAGGGCCGTGGGCAGCCGGCTCCGGGCTCCGGGTGCACGGCGCTTACAGCACGCGCGGGTCCGGGGGCGCTCCCGGGCGCCAGGAGGATGCCGGGCTCGCTGCTAGCGACGCGCGGGCCGCTTTCCTGGCCGGGGTGGAGCCGCTCTCCCAGGCTTCTCCTAGACGGCCCGAGGGCCTGGGAGCTGTGGTGCTCGTCGGCCGGATGTCCCGGGGATCTTGGCGACCCCGATGGAAAGTCTTGGGCGGCGCCGAGGGTCGAGGCCCCTTGCTGCGGATCCAGTTGCAGGCATTCCCTGAGCTAGGTCATAGCAGACGGTTGGTGGCCCTCCAACTCGCTTTCTCAGGCGCAGCCAAACCCTCTTTTAACGCCTGCCTGGCACCCAGGGTGGGTTTTGTGGCAGGAAACGGGGTGGGGGAGGGACCTATAGAAGGCCTCACAAGTGTTATTTTTTGTCTCCGACCTTCTTAAAACGTTCCCACGGTACCCACCACATTCTGCATTTTGCCCTAGTGCTCTTTCTGGCACCCCTTCTTTCGTTGGAAACCCACAGGGGCAGTTCCACCCTGCTCTACAGATTCTGTGAGTAGGAACCTGGGTGAACATGGGTCGTGGGTGGAAATTTCACCAAGGGACATGAGGGGCGTGACACCCTCCGCTTTGTGCTGAAGGAGTAAAATAGCATAACCACTAAAACTCGCTCCTGACGGAGAAGTGCACCCTCCTGGCCCTGGGCGCCTTGCAGGAAGACTCAACTCCCAAAAGGCTTTCTGCCAAGCCCCCGGGTGGTATTTTAAACATCAGCAGCCACCCTCATCCAACTTGCTTCGGCAAGTGGGTACGTGCTCTCTGCAAGAATCAAGAGTTCTAGTTGGCGTCTTTAGAATTTTCTCCAAACCTAACTACTGTTCCTCCTCCATGGGTAGGTGAGTACAGTTCTCTCCAGTGCTCAGTAGAGGACATTGGATTTGGGGAGCCCAAGATCGTAAACAGTGACCTTTTTAAAGGGCAGCTGAGTCGAAAGATGCACTGGCTAGCCCATTTATCCTTCCACCTACCTTCAAGCTCTGAGCAGTGTGATTCAGTGAGCACAGTTGCTCCAGGTGGAGCCTGGGGAATTGTCGTGTTAATGTATGAAGTGGTCATCTCCTTCCTGCTGCACACCATTAGAATCTAGTCTGTAAATTTACTGTCTTAAAAGGGCTGCACCTGTAACGGCTTTTGACAGGTACATTAAGGAAGGAGTCCCTGGGTGGTGCAAATATTTAGTAAGCCCATTTGCTAACTGAAAGAGTGGAGGTTTAGGCTACCTGAAAGTGCCTTAGAAGAAAGGCCTGGTGTTCCGCTTCTGAAAAATCAGTCATTGAAAACCCAGTGGAGTACAGCTCCGCTCTGACATGCCTGGGGGTGCCGTGAGTGGATGTGGTTTTATCATAAGGACTTAGTGCCAGAGTCTCCGGCCCTCTGCACCTCCAGCCATCTCATTCAGTTATTTCGTGTGTTACTATCTAATCGTCATTCAGAAGATGGCAAAGTCTTTTAGCATCGTTCTCAGGCAATGTGTCTCTTTCTAACAGGTTTGAGGAACTTCTTGGCGGTACTGAGTGTTAAAGGGGTAAATATATTCATTACCAGTAATCCTAGTGTTACAATTAATATAGACAAGGGGGCTTCAACTGACTTGTGGAAAAATGGGATGAAAGATAATGGATTTTCCCCACAGACTTTTTGCAGCCCTCTTTTGTACTTTGTACATTTTGTAAAATTGCTATCACTTTACTGTTAGGTGACAGTTCTAACTAAAAAAAATAATTCAGATCAGCTTTGCAACAGATAACTTTCTTTATCCAAACTCACTGCCATCGAGTTGATTCTGACTCACAGTGACCCAACAGGACAGGATAGAACTGTCCCTGTCGGTTTCCAAAACTATTAATCTTTACTGAGTAGAAAGCCTCATATTGCTCACTCAGAGAGGCTGGTGGTTTCAAACTGCTGACCTTGAGGTTAGCAACCCACTATGCCACCAGTAATTCTACTGTGTTACATTATAAAAAGTGAGTTTTGTAAAGAAGAAAACTGAACAGAGATTGATGCTTGGCTCTAGGGACAGGCAAGCTTAGGCCTGAGACTGGGAAGCTTACTTTGGAGGGGTTTCTAAGTTAGGAGGATATCGGAGTCAGGGCACCATATGTGTTAGGCTGTGAGGGCTTTTCCTCGATTCCTGCTTCTCAGCATGGAAAGAATTCATACACCAGAAGCCCCAAACTGAGTAAAAGTAAAGAAGTATAATGTTTGATGATCGTACATTGTCACAGATAAGAACTGGTCATCTCCAGGGATCTTAGAGAGGCTTTAGAGCACTCTGAAAGTAAACCACTGTGCTCACCACTCCAGAGGAGAACTGGATTTCTCCTGGCATCCTCACTGGCCAGTTAGGATCTCTGGTATCAGACCTTGAATTTGATTGTACATAGACATCTCTGCCCATTGCCCATGATAGTGAAAACTGATTATGAAAGCAACCAGTCCATCCTAGCGAAGAGCAGACCTCCCTGGAAAGCATCGATGATGTACTTTAATAGCCTAGCATTTGATGGACTGTCTTTTATTCATAATGCAAATCAGACGAAACCAGTTGCCTTCCAGTCAGTCCTGAGTGCTGGCAACCCCATATGCGTCAGGGGATAATTGTGCCCCACAAGGTTTGCTGTGCTGATCTTCTTTGGGAAATAGACCGAATGGCATGGTTTTTGCCTGGGACATGGTAGAAAAATCTCACTCAATAAAGATGGTCCTTTCAGGATGAGTTAGAACTGCAGTGAGGTTTGTGACCATGATGCATTATTGAGGCAAGACCAGAAAACACAGCAAAACTCCTGACTATCGATGTGGGTGGTACTGATTCAGAGCCACCCCCACAGGACAGGGTAGAACTGCCCCTTTGAGTTTCTGAGGCTGTCAGTCTTTATGGGAGCAGAATGCCACATCATTTTCCTGAGGGGTGGATGGCGGATTTGAACTGGTGAGTTTGTGGGCTATTTTAAGACTGGCCAGGGGAGACTTTAAAGGCAGACTGCTTGTGTTTCCTTCCTGGAGTTTCTACGGCTTAGCTGTGTTTATCACAGATATTATTATACCCACTAGAATGTATGCTTTATAAGGGCAAAGAGTTTTGTTCCTGACCACGTTTCCTGTTTAGCTGTGATTCTTGAGGTCATCGGAATTCCAGTGTATATGACTCTTTAGGGATGCTTCAGAATGTTTGCTCACTGAGAAAGTTAACTCCATTCGTTACTTCAAGATTTTATCATAGAATCATATGGCCCTCAAAGTCTGAAATATGGCCCCTCTGGGTTACAAGCCACCTCCTTGTCTGCTTTCATTCATCACAGGTTGGTTATTGGCTGGCTTGTTTGATGGTTCTGGCTCTAGGTCAGCGGTTCTTCACAGGAGTCGCCCAACTCATAACAGTAGCAAAATTGCAGTTATGAAGTAGCAGTGAAAAGAATTTTATGGTTGGGGGGTCACCACAGCATGAGGAACTGTCTTAAAGGGTCGCGGCCTTAGGAAGGTTGAGAACCACTGCTCAAGGTGATAGCTCTCCATGAGAACAGGGATCTACGCTCCTGTTTTCTTCACATCTGCATCCCTGCTCCCAGCGCTGTGCTTGGCACTTAGTGTGTGCTCAGTAAATAGCTGTTGATTACGCGGTGTTGCTCCAGGAGGGGCTGGAGTTTGTTGTATTATGTTTAGCCCAGGACCTCTTTGATTGAGGCAGGGCATTTCTTGGTGAAGATCTTCTCAATATGCTCTCTAGGTGTGGCGACTGCTATGTTAATGCTGCTTGTCTGTGGGTCATTGCTTCTGGAAGTGCCGCTGAGCAGCCAAGATGCAGCCCCTCCTGGGGCCTCTGGTCCTCCAGGCGCACCTCTGTATGACTTCGCCAGCATCCGCCTGCCCGAGGAGCACATTCCCTTCTTTCTGCACAACAACAGGCACATTGCCACAGCCTGTCAGAAAGACCCGCGGTGCCCTTATAAGGTTGGTAACACTTCTTCTATTTCCAGAGGGGTGGATTTTAGGTTGGCTTACTACTTTGGCGTTATGATTGCAGCGTGCAGGTGAAATTCTCTGTTTCCATGGTCACTGTGATTTATGCTTTATGGGTTTCATCAAAGGCTTTGATGGACTGAACTCTGCTGAAGATGTGTCTGATTTCCAGGGGTGAACTTGGGTCTGCATCCTCGTCTCTCCCACGAGTAGGCAGCCCATGTGATCTCTAGTCTCTGTAAACCAGCAAGGATTAGATTGGGTGCAGAAAGTACACCCAGTGAAATGAAAGACTGCCCCAGTTTCCTTAAACTGCACACTGTAAGGGTTCCTCTGGCTCTGTGTCCACATCATTACGTCAATGATGACAGCCGCCTTCCCTTTGTTTTCAGAGGAGCTGGGAAAGGCCTCCACTGGGATCCCATTAGGACATCACATGGGGCCTGAGAGGTCATTGTGAGCATTGTGAGCCGCTTCCTTCCTTCCTTCCTTTCGGCCACTGGCATGGGAAACATGGGGAAGCAAACTTGGGAACAGAGCAGTTGGGGTCTTGCAGAGGCCCCTTCTCCACACTGGATGGCCAGCCCGCCTGCTGTGCCCGGATCTTCTGGGGGCTCTGCTGATCCTGCTGGATGAGTCAGCGGTGATGCTGGAGGTCATTGGAATTCTCGTGTATATGACTCTAGAGAATGACTCGAGAATGTGCTTGCTCATTGCGACCAGCAGTTCCACTTGTTACTTGAAGGGGTTCCAATTCCAGGGATCCCTGGTAGTCTGGGGCCCCTGCGGGACACAAGCGGGTTATTTTCTGTTAGTAACCAGAGGTTGGCAGTTTGAAACTCACTCACTGGTACTGCTAAAGGAAGGTCTGGCAATCTGCTGCCGTTAGGTGTCTAGCCAGGAAAACTTATGGAGCAGTTCCACTCTGTGGCACACAGGCTCTCCAGGGGGCAGAATCGACTCGATGGCAGTGGGGTTTTCTGTTTGTTTGTCCATCTAAGTAAAGCTTAGTTTCATTTAGGGGACAGACTTGGTAGGGACAGTGATTAAGGAGCATTATTGTTCAGTACTTTGGGGACCTCTATTCACAGTACTTACTCCGGTTATTTTCATTACCACCCACCTGTCCATTTGTCATATTGCTGGGCCTCCCGTGCTGCTGTAAGGCTGGAAGCCATGCCTGCTGTATTTCAAGCACAAGGTGTCACCCAGGTTGGACGGGTTTCAGCTGAGCGTCTGGGCTAAGACAGATAAGGAAGAAAGAACTGGCAGTCAGCTCCCCCAAATGAGGTAATGAACAGTCTGTGCATTGCAGTGGTCCAGCGGTTCTCAACCTGTGGGTCACGACCCCTTTGGGGGTCAAACAACCCTTTCACAGGGGTTGCCCGATTCATAACAGTAGCAAAATTACAGTTATGAAGTGGCAATGAAAATAGGTTTATGGTTGGGGGGTCACCACAACGTGAGGAACTGTCTGAAAGGGTCGTGGCATTAAGAAGGTCAAGAATCACTGCAGTAGACCATTGTCTGGCACAGTGCTGAAAGAGGCGCTCCCCTAGGTTGGAAAGAATGATGCACGCAACAACAGGCTTAAACATCCTGAGCATCCTGAAGGTGGGGTTTTATTCTGTTGTGGATAAGGCTGCCGTGCCTGGAGTTAGTGCACTATAATGAGCAGCAGCATTTTCACTATGACTACATACAGAAATGTAAGGATGAGAGTTCTGGAGACGATTTGTTTTCTTTGTGCATAAGACCCGTGGTAAACGTGAGAAGCAGAGAGACAAGTCTAAATGTACCTGTTTTATGTTCTAGAAACACTTAGAAAACCTAAACTACTGCTGGGGCTATGAGAAATCCTGTAAGCCAGGCCTCAGGTTTGGGAACCCTGTGTGCAGCTATGTCGACCTGGGTTGGTAAGTCTCTCCCTTCCAGCCCTCTTTCCCTGCGGTGTGTGTTAAGCTCCAACGATACCCAGCTCAGTTCCTTTTGTATTAGATAGTCATTCCTTTCACTGTAAATTTGCTGATACATTCATGAGTTCAACACTCTTTCCGGGTGGGGGTGGGGGTGCGGCAGGAATATCTGCCATTCCCTCAGCCAGGGAAAGTAGTGTTCCCATAGCTAACCTACCCACCGTCCCTGGGAGGTGCAGTGCAAAGGATTAGCACCCCGCTGCCAGCTGGGAAAGTGATGGCTTGAACCCACCGGGAGGCACCGTGAATGAACGCGTGGTGGTCTGCTTCTACAAGGCTGGCTCGCCTAGGAAAGCCCCTGGGGCAGTGCCGCCCTGCGCGCACGGGTCACCGTGAGTCAGCGTCGCCTCCACAGCGACGGACACCAGAGGACACGCCAAGGAGGATGCGCTGATTCCTCTGGGTTCTTCGTGGGTTACTGAAGTCCGATTAGTACCTCCCGACAGGCCAGATTAGCGGGGCAGAGAAAGGACTAGTTACCAACCATGCGTTTTCTTCACTTCCCCATGGTTCCAACCTTAGTTACCTCTGTTGCGCGTTTTTACTTTAAGGGGCTAAGTCTGGGAATAATTTAAGTCGATGAGCTCATATAGTCAGGGAGAGTTTGGGGATGCTGATGGTAGTGTACTTAAAAAAACAAAAGCAAACCAAAGTACAGTGAACCCTCGCCACTTCGTGCTTCGACTTCCGCGGCTTCACTCTATCGCGGTTTTTGCGTGACAGCGCATGCTCTGTCATTACTGCCACTGATTGGCTCATACTGTACACGCTTGATGCCATAAATAATATAATAAATAATAAATGAT